CCCCCCCCAGGGTTTCAAATGTCTAACAGGAAGTGACTCGGTGAAGATGTGAAGGAGGGAAATCACTTTACCACTACAACTTGGAGAATAAAAGTTAAAAATGATATGTTCTTCTTGTGGCGAAACATCTAATTTCTCAGGCTTCTTTTTAAAAGACCCTAATTTTGTTTTTCCACACTATATTGAAAAATTGTTAACAGTAAATATAATAAGTATGTGCTCTACTCCAGCCCCCTCCCCCTCCCCCTCCCCCTACAAAAAAGCATGCAATTTGCAGGATTTAAAACGTATTCTATTTTAATATATGAATTATCAACTATGATCGGTTTGTAAAAGCGGCCATGGCACATAACCAAATTTTACCCCAATACACGGTTTGTCTCTGTTTTGGTAAGCTTTGAGCGAACGAAACTCGTCTAAATGCTGAAAAAAATTCTGAAAAGCACAAATTCTATTTACTTTTGGTCTAGCAAAGGTGAGGGCGCAAGGAAAAAAGCCACAGGCCTCCTATTTTGTCTAGCCCTAATGACCATAGTACAAAGTGTCAGGAAATGAGACAATTCATCAACTCTCTGGCTCAGTTATTAAAGGAAACTGCGCGCTGTATATTCATACTACTAGCGTAACTAACTCTTTTCTGAGTAGAGTTCTTTCTATTTTTTGACGATACTCGCTGAGTTGAAAACCTCGTCCTGGAACTCTTTTGTTGGCTGTGCTCCCTTGTCTCAGATTAGGAAGGTAGCTGTCTCAAAACCGAGCCTTCAAATTAGACATTCGTGTTCTAAGCGTAAAAAGATCTTAATGGAAACCCTCTGTGAAACATTAGTGTCAACATGTCTCATTACCTGTTTACTGATGATATAATTTTCAGTTGCTCTCTTTGACAATGGCACACGAAAACAAACACTATTGTGCTGTATTATACTTTATCCCATACCTGGAAGAAAAAGAAGCAATGAAGCCATGAATTCCCATTTATCGTTTTAGTGACTGTGTAACCACTAAGGACATTCATTGGGCACCAAACGCTTCAGGCGATGTCTTCACAGGGAAAGGTATTTAACTCTTTATGTCTTAAATAATTCGCTAACTCGGTAGCTCGTGTACAAAGAAGCTGTATCACCGGGTACCGGGTCTCTCCACCCAGGTTTAAAAATGGGCACTGGCGAATTTAATGCTGCAGGTAACCCTGCGATGGAGCAGGAGGGGAGTAGAAATGTTCTTAGTCGCTTCATGCTACAGAAATCGGGGATAAGCGCCGGCCTGATGGGCCACGTGACTCGAATGCAGCCCGTGTTTTTATCACCGGGCACACAATTTATTTCATCATTTACTTATTTTTCATCAAATTCAAGGAAACCCCGTAAAGAAGTTTTGTAGGATAGGAGTAGGCATTTTTCGCTTTCTTCGTTTTAAAACTGAATTTCTCTTCTCTCCTACATGGGCCAAACTTTGAGGCCGGGAACCCACCAAAATCGTTTCACTTATAATTCCAGTTACCTTGCTCACAATTTTGCATGATTTATTTCAGGAGTCAGAATCATCGAGCTCTTCCCAGGAATCCAGTGGAGGAGAATTTCAAGAAAATAGTGAAGCACACTCATCATCAGGAAGATTACAAGTTACTTTTCTGGCATCAGAATGGAGATCAAGTAAAGGAGGACTTTCCACTTTAAACAGAGAGTTAGCAATAAACGTTGCAAAACGTCCTGAGGTACAGGTCACCTTCTTTGTTCCACAATGCAATGAAGATGACAAGAAAGCAGCTCTTGGCCACAAGATTAATCTTGTTCAAGCAAACAGGCTGGTTGGTATGGATGAGTTAACATGGCTCAACTTTCCACCACGTGATTTACAAATTGACATAGTTGTCGGTCATGGTGTCAAGCTCGGTCCTCAAGCACAAGTTATACGACAGTCACACCAATGTAAATGGGTTCAGGTTGTCCATATTGCCCCTGAGGAACTTGGGATGTATAAGACATATTCGAATCCAGTATCAGTGAATGAAAAAAAGCATGAAATGGAAGTCGCACTTTGTAAAATGGCTGACTTAGCTGTTACTGTTGGACCCAACTTAAGTGAGACTTTTCGCGCTTACCTTCGTGGCTGCAGGAAAGATAAAATGGTAGTTGAATTTACTCCTGGAATTTTGGCTGAGTTTTCCGAAGTCCACCAGGCTGTTGATGAAAGGAAAAACTTCCGAGTTCTGGTTTTTGGGCGTGGCGATGAAGAAGATTTCGAATTGAAAGGATTTGACATTGCAGCCAAAGCTGTTGCTACCTTAGATGGCACACATCTTACTTTTGTTGGTGCACCACATGGAAAGCAAGACGAGGTTAAAACTCGTTTGGTCAAGTGTGGCATCCCTGCTCAACGCCTAACTGTCAGAAGCTTTTTACAAAACCGGGAGAGTTTGAAGAACTTACTTTGCGAAGTGGATCTTGCAATCATGCCTTCGAGAACGGAGGGCTTTGGTTTGACAGGTCTTGAAGCCTTGTCAGCTGGTCTGCCAATTCTTGTCAGCAGAAACTCGGGATTTGGAGAAGCGTTGAGAAAGGTACTATATGGCTCATATTTTGTAATTAATTCAGAAGATCCCGACGTATGGGCAAAAGCCATCAAGGATGTCCAGGACAAAGACAGGTTTGACCGTCTTCAGGAGTCTGAGGGATTGCGTGCGTCATACGTGAAGAAGTACAGTTGGGAAAGTCAAACTAAATCTCTCATTAGTAAGATGTTCAGCATTACCCAAGGTATGAATATTTTCAGTATCAGCTTTGTTTTCTTAGTTACTGACGGGTTGTCAGACAGAGTGATAATAGAATGTTTACTAATTGATACAACAGAACTCGTTTTGCAAGTCAATATATGAAAGATCATATATTTGAACTGCGGAGAAAGATATGAAGACATGAAGGATTATCGCAGTTATATACACACCTTAAGCAGCAGTTCAAAGATATGATCTTTCATATATTCACCTGCATTCTTCACCATCTACGGGTATATTACAAACTTAGAACGTGATCAGCTCCCAGTTGGCTTTTTGGCTCCGTTGGTAGAGCACTGCACCGGTATCGCAGAGGTCATGGGTTTGAATCCCGTTCAAGCCTGAATTTCATTTGTTACATTTCACAGCTTAATTTGTGTATATCACTGCAATGATCTCTAGAACTCATTTTCCTAGTAATTTAACCCATCTGGTTGGTGGCTTGCAATTCTGTGAAAGCAGAGCTGTATACCTGTTTGTTATTTTGGTTATAATAGTAAAGTAGCAAACACCCTTCATTACTGGCATTTGATGCTCAGCATTTTATCGAAAAAAAAAAGTACCTAGAAGAGCTTTTGAGAAATTATATTTTACATAAAAGGTTACATGAAAGCTATCAATGCATGGTCGAGGTAATTGTAAGCTGTCATGTTTTGTCTTGGTAGGTTCTCCTGTAGCTAGTCCGAGCTCGACAAGAACAGTACCGACTCAACAAACGGACGTCACAACTGAGCGTCTTCCAGGTACCATACCTACTAAGCAAACAATTTGCAAACAGCTGTTCAGCCGTCGCCAACTGGTATAATGACTCGAGGAATCAGATATGTCGAAAACGTTGCAAATTTTCACATTTCCANTCTGGTGGCTCGTTTCTGTTCAGTCAGTCTCGTGTTGAGGTTTCTGCCAGTCTCAACAATGTGGGAAGCCTGGCAGTCGGAGCATTTGTTCTTCGCTGGTCAGTAAGTGTCCTAACGTAGTTGTAGGTTTGTGGGCTTCACGGATGTTGTGGGGCTGTAGGATCCGTGATATTGTTTCAGAAGTGCCCCAAATGTAAGGTGTAGTAACAGGTGTTGGGTTCCTGTTCGTTGCGTCAGCTTCAGTTAGTCGGCAAATGTTTTGTCTAATAAAGTCAGCGTTGTAGTTGTTTCTGTGAAAAAACACGTTCAAGGCATCTGGTTTCGTCACGTAAGCTGTCCAGTGTGTCACAAACTATTCGCGCTCGTCTCGTCAAAGTCTTTATAGTCGTGACTTTGTGTGAAGCCGGGTTGTAAGATGATTCGTTAACTAATCTGTCAGTATGCGTCGGTTTTCAGATTGAGTGTCAACTGAGGTGTTGATGGAGTGTCGATCGAGTATCGATCGAGGGTCCATCGAAGGTCCATCGAGGGTATCGATCGACACTCGACCGCGGATGCCTTCAGTACACATAAGTTTTAACATAACAGTTAACCAGAGATGTCGGCAAACAATATCCGAAGATGAGGTAACTTTTCGCTCCGTTATTTCCGACCGACCGTAGTATTTTTCTATTTATATGCATAGTCAATTACTGTGTACGTCCAACATACCAGTAAACATATCAAGCTACACAAATTTGCATATTTCGTACTAGTAAATCGTGGAAAATCCTTCGACAAGATCTTGAAAAAAGGTTCAGGCAGCATAGTTCAGTTAAATGAATACATTTCTGCTTGACTGTTATTTCTGTTATTTTGAAAAGTCCATTTTACGTACGCTAATAACCTGGGAGTTCTCGACTTAGTTTGCGTTTCGGTTGACTGACAAGCGTGTTCGTATTTCAGCACGGCAATCTCTGTCGGTAGCTATAGAGTCGAATCTAAATCGTTTGTTTAACTTTCCTTATATATTTATCAATGCTTTGTTCATTCTAAGTTTTTAATTGAGATATATATTTCGTTCCTCAAAGACGAATCTCAAAGAACAAAACAATTGTGTATACGGAATGGCCTTTGAAAAACACGGCCGGATTACGACCTCCGGCGTGCGTATTGCTGCGTATAAAATCCACAGATACATAGCTAGTTCACCAGTTTGAAGCCTCGACAATCTTAATCGCCTCGTTGTAAAACGTTGAGTTTCGCTTACTATTCGTTTAGAAAAGTCTCTATTTCGAGTACAGAAAACGCGATGCGTTCAATTTGGTCTGGACTCTGGAAGTTATGTAAGAAAACTCTCAGTACTCTAGTAGAAGTTCATTTGTGAGTTTCTCAAACAATGCTTAATCGTAACCAAAACCTGTTTTTGATAGTTTCTTATTGTTTCTGCTTGTTTGGCGAGTTAACAAAAGTTTTTGAAAAGAAAGTCTGACGCGAAAAAGTAGCTCATTTGCATAGTGCAGCGCGTGCACTTTCAAGCCCAAGTCGGTGTTTTCAATAGGCCACGTTCGATATATCAATATTCTAACATCGATTCGAGGCTTTCGGGTCAAAATTGAAATTTTTTAAAGTTTCCTTTGTCTTTCAATTTCCAAAAGAGACTTGGATACATAGAAAGCACCACCAAACATAGAAGTTTGTCCTGAAAGCCTTGGAGCCATGTTGAAATATCGATATCGCGAACTTGGCCTATTGACAACAAATCTTGACAAAGATTTCTTTCGTTATCTTTTGTGCTGACGTGCTGCAACAATTTTCACCAACGCCAAAAGGTTGCTAACGTCATGTGTCTTGTTTCTTCGACATAGCGAAATTTTACACTGCGAAAATAAAATAGACAAGGAGTTTTGATAACTCAACCAACAAAATCTAAATCGTTATTCGAGTTAATTGAAGAAAGCGTCATCGTAACTTTGCTGATTATCTCTGCTGTATTCATATATTTTCAGCTAAGCTTTTAATATGTTCTCAAAAATTTATGAACCTTAAGTAAATTTAAAAACTAGAGATATTGTGTGAGTTCTATGTACGTTTTCGCACGAAAGTGCGGAAGTCCAATTTGTCATGTTTACTGACTGTATAAAACACGCATCGGGGGGCGCTCTTATTCATAAATAACAGACAATTTATTGGATTTTTACCCAAACAAAACTGGGCAGTATGTACAGATGTAAACTTATTGAGCCTTGATGAAACATCAAGCGTTGCTTACACTTTGGGCGAAACTCAGACTTGCAATTATTTTTTTTTCTTTTTGGTCGCGATAAACTCTGGCGAAATCCTCCCAAGAGTGAGGCAAGAGGAGGGGAACTTTGGAGTCCTGAAACGCTGCTTTATCCAAATATATCCAACCATTTTTTGCTGTGTTATGGAAAAGCTGTTAATCTTCAACATATGTGAAATTTAGATTGGAGTAATGTGGGGCTCTTGTAAAAGAAGCGGCAGAACACAACTTGGTCAGTGAAATAAAGCGGGACACCTAAATTCGACACCGTCTTACTCCACCCCAACTGGAGCAGCTTACGACGGAAACACTTAAGCAAAACTCCAACAGACATAAATGTACTGAGTTGCGGGCCAAAAGCATGAAAAGTTTCGAGAATTTCGGGAGCCATTTTCCCCGCGCTTCATCCGTGAAAATCCTCGCAACATGTACGCGCGTGTGCCGCACGCAATGGCGCAATTTGTTCCAAAAATAGCACAAAATTGTCCCAAATCATAGGGACAGCCTCAATAGTAGAAATGGCGCGCGCTTACGGTCTCCGTCCCCGATTATGGCTCCTGATAAAAACAATTCTATCACGTACTTTGAACGTAATAATGATGACATGTGGTCATCGAAACGTTTTAATACTGCTCTTTTTTGTTTCAAGATGTTTTGCAAAGCCTTATTTTATTAGAAGAATTAACACTTTGGTTAACTTTTAATGGGAGGCGTGGTGACTTCTTGGTTAGTGCGCTGGACTCTAAATCGAGAGGTCCAGGTTGGAGTCCTGGCCAGGGTCACTCCGTTGTGTTCTTGGGCAAGGCACTTTACTCTCACAAGTGCCTCTCTCCACCCAGGTTTATAAATGGGTACCGGCAAATTTAATGCAGGGGGTAACTCTGCGATGGAATAGCATCCCATCCAGGGGGGAGAGGAAATACTCTTAGTCGCTCCATGCTACAGAAACTAGGATAAGTTCTGGCCTGATGGGTCTCTAGGCTGATATGCAGACTTTACCATTTTTACCCTAACTTTTCATGCTGGGTTAGCTTTAACCGGATTTCCAACAACCCGGCCCAGATGTTAACAGCCTCTTCGTGATGACTGTTTCCTTTCCATTTCTAATCTTTAACAACAGAGGCTCTCAAATTGTTAACAGCAATATTATACCTAAAGTGACTATGTAAAGAGAGAAAAAGCAAATCAGACATTCGAAAAAATGTTTCAACAACAATTATTTTGTGAAAAATGTATCTATAAGGTTTTTAGCTTTATGTCGATTGTAGTCGTAAAACAACTGTTACCGACTAACGTACCTGACTCTTCCAGTGTTACGACAACCACAGACCGCGTTCGTACTGAACAAGAACGAAAACTGACAAAACTTCAACGCAATAAAGACAAAATTCGACCGAAAACTGACGATAACTGGGTCAGGAATATTTCTTCCCGTCTTCCCGTCCTACGGACTAAAACACTCAGTGACGCCTAAACGGATATCGACCGAGTCTATTGTATCTAGTGTTGAGGCAGTTCTGTCTCGTCAGCGAGACTTATCAGAATCTGCCAAGGATAACATCAGAAGCGGAATTCCTTCCACGGTACAATCAGCCTCTCTACCTAACAATAACTTGACAAAAGACGAACAACAAGTACTGAAACGACTGAAAAACGACAACAACATTGTTATACTACCAGCCGACAAAGGACGTGTCACTGTTGTT